ATCTCTTGAATATCAAATGAGAAATAAGGAAAAATGAGAGAAGTAAGGAAAAATAATATTGATAAGATTAACATTAATGGTAATGATCGGGTAACATTAATAAAGACCTTAAGAAAAAAAAAATTTCTTTCTAATCTTGTAACTCTCTTCTAAATCTTTCAATCTTTAAGCATTCGTTAAAACACATATTAGAAGATCCTTCTCTTAAGGAAGGCATTACTTAACATTTAACTACATATTAATACATATTAGAAGCTCTCTCAGAACATAAAAGATTATTATTCTCTATCAAAGAAAAGACATCTTGCATAAAATAGATATAATCTTAAAACGCGTGTATGACAGTGTAATGAATTTGCAAAATAAGTAATACAGGGATAATATAAGGGTAGTAAAATGTCGTTACGATATCACGTAACATGTCGAAGATAAAATTTTATGGCACAATGACGCGTAATAACGTCGAAAAAAAAAAAAAAAAGAAAGGAAAAAAAAAAAGAATCTTCGTTATTGATGACAGACGGTAGTGGTCTTTTTCTCGAGGCTCGAGTTTGATAAATTAAAGCACTTGATCGCGGCTATTCCTAGTCAAATAGGTGTTGTCCAACAAATACCGGCACATCATTGTCCAACACAAGCGATGCCCGAAGGTAAATTTTAATAATGCGAGTTGCGTCGAGCGAATTCAAATCGGGGGAAGCCCCTATCGCTTCATATCGGCACGATCATGGATATTAGCGTGATCGCCCACAATCAATTACCTGTTATCAATAATTCATGTTGGAAATTATTTTCTCGATCATTCCGCACTCGATCGGCCCTCTTTTATCTTTTCTACAGGGTGGTCTTACCTCCGCGACGAGATATAAAGTTTTCAAGCATGTTAATGAGTCGAAAGTTTTTCTTTTTCTTTTGAATCGCTTTGAAGGAAGTAATGTCATCGTTCCGGGATTTAGAAATAAAACACGTGGAATGGAGCCAGGTCTCTTAATTATATAAATTAGGATAAATTAGGATGTGAACGAAGTTGATTTTTGGGCGTAGTGGATGTAATAAGGACAATGTGGAAAGAAGATTTATGGTTTGAATTAATTTTTAATTGTAAAGATTGAACTTCTCTTTTTTCTTTTGCGATTCGTTTAACTTGTTGAATTGGATTTAAGAAGAATCGAAGTTGATGATTTAATGATCATTCGTAAGAAAGGAAATTGAATTAAATTTTTTTTCATAGTTCAAAAATCTTAAATTGTTACTTTCGTTACTTGGAATTAAACAAAACTTGAAATTTATTTGATATAAATCATAAATAAGAAATAGGAAATAAAATCAGAAATCTCCTTGTTAGACTCCATTAAAAAAAAAGTATTTTTAAATTTTAAACGTTCGAATAATTTTTATAGAAAAAAAATCAGATAATACTTTCAAAATTAATTATATATTGGTGCAATATTGGATCTTAATTGGATCTTAATTAAAATTGATTGATTCGAGAAAGAAAAAAATACATTAAAGCAAATTCCAAACTGAATAATTAAATATCGTACAATTAATATGAATAATTTTTTCATTATAGTTATCCTATTCTAATATTGGAAAATAATAATTTTAAAGAAATTAAAAGAAAATGAAGATCATGAAGATAAAATGATCGTTTAAGTATACCTAGAATAATTCGCGAGGGTTTCGCTGGGATTCTGTAATGAACGTTCATCGATATTCACCACGGGAAGGAATGAAAACAGAACTAAAAAGACTTGTTCACGCCGTTGATTGTCGAACATTCAGATCCGTGACTCGTGTTAAAGTCCATTAAAGCGCAAATAAAATCATACGAGTTACGAAAGATTCGTACAATGCTTAGTTATGAAACAAACGAGAATTTTACGTCCATCTTGTTCCCATTATATGTATTTAAATTCAGAGAAGAATCAATCACAAAGTTTATTACATATGGGAACAGGAGTAATAAAGGTATTTTTATCAGTATTATTGGATTTGAGATTAGAAGTTAGATTAGGTTAGATTTATTTTTATTTTAAGTTAAATTAAATTTTCATCAAATTAATAAAATTCTTTAAAAGAGATACCGCATCAATTTTTCAAAAATAATAATCCTTGGATCAAAAGTTTCTTGATTCAACTACATTCGTGCAAAACATTATCAGAAAATGTAAAAATTGAACAAAAATATTATCATCTATCATCAAACAATTAATCCATCTTAATCTATCTTCATCTCACTATTCACATTACGAGTCATGTCACCAAATATACCAAAAATTAATCAAGAAATATAATCGATCAATATAAAGATCATTTTTCCATTATTCCAAATTAAAATTAACAAAATATCATATCAATTTTTTATCAAAAATAATTTTCGAATCGAAATTTTTTCAAATTCCATTAATCAAGTATTAATCAAATATTAAGTCAGATATTTAAAATTTAAAATTCTCTTCCAAACACAAATTTCAACACGCACATCCATCTCACAATTCTACATCTTCATCCCACACACCAAGCCAGATCACCGATTACAAGTTAATCCATCGATTCAAGATATACAATATCCACTACGTTTCGTAACGGAGGTCACGGAGGTTGGTTATGCAGAAAATTTCACGTATTGTCGCACGAGTAGGGCCCAAGGGGAAGGAGACCCAACCCGTGACCAGGGCTTCGAGCCCGTTTTGGGCCTGAGCTCACGACTCGACGAAGAGGAGAAGCGAGCGAAGAGCGAGAAAGAGAGGGAGAGAGAGATCGAGTCGGCGGCGGCGGTCGGCGCCTTTTGATCTTGCCTGTAATCCCGTCGGGCCCCGCGGCCTGACTGACGTCATGAGAGGTGTCCGAGGGCCGGTACGTACGCGACGATACCGCCTAAGTGTGCGGTGTGTGCGTTGCACGCGCTTGTGGATATGTCCTTACGGGCCATACGGGGCCCGAAGGGGTGGGGGATGTAAATCTCGCGGAGTTGATGAATGACGAAACGGGACTACTTTGGCGGCACCACGAAACGGCCGATGGAGGCGCTGGTGGGGTGCTGCCTTTTTGAATTATGCCGTGGTAATTAGCAGAAGTTTTTCGTAGCAGGTGTTACCGATGGTGGACCTCGGTGTAACGACAGGCCCATTACTACGATGATTATCAATTTTTAGCGAGTCGTTAGCCTCGCTCTCTCTCACCACGATTGCCTATTTCTTTTTCTCTTTTTCCACCATTGAAATTGGAAAGAGAGGTTTTTTTTTCAGATCGATGGTAGATATTGATCTATTATTATGTCTTCTAGTGATTGTGCAAGATACTTTTGCGAGTTATATGGAATGAATCTGATTTCGACTTATTGGATTATTTATAGTTTGTAGAATAATCTTCATCGTATATATCTCTAAATCATACTTTTGATTGAATTGACTTTTTGCTTGATTTTAACTATAAAAATACCACTTGCTAATTTTGAGCAATAAAAAACATTATTCGTTGAAAATTGAAGTTAAGTTATTTTGAGCTACTAATAAAAAAATTTAATAAAATCAATGAAATTTTGTAAATTATTTTGCAATAATTCTTGAAAAGAAATCTATAGATCAAATTCCGATTTAAATGTACAAAAGAGACTTGGAAAAGTAGTGATTAGGAAAAAAAGAATTTTGCCAGTTCGTTCCACCCTAGTAACTATGCTATTGTAGGTTTCGAATCGTTAAGTTAATCACTTGCAATATCCATCTTTTCTTATCACAGGATTGGAGAGACGGATAGCGGATAAAATATCCACGGACACGGACATAGAGTTCAACGTTTCGTCTAGGATTACTCTAAGAAATAAGACGTTATAGACGGGAAGACTTACGAGAACTCTTGCACCCCCTCGAGCAATGCGTTTGAAACAATGGTTCTTTATCGCATCCAATTACCGGAGCGCGTCGTAAACTTTATATCGCGATGTAGTAAGTCGTGGCCATTTGCTTGTTGCGGCGACAGTCGTTTTTCGTTTTAATGCAAATTTACGGTGAATATACAAATTGACGAGGACCGTGAGGGAAATTAATTAACACATGTTACAGAAACGTACGCCGGATGATTTTCGAATGGTGCTACTTGTACGAGCCTTTCCATACTCTAATTAACGGAACATCGATTCAATTTTAATCTTTTCGCTTCTTCGAAATGAAATATCGAAAGAATATAAGAATATAATCCTAAATGAGTTATTAGGATATTAAATTTAATTAATCTCGAAGTTTAATTATTATTCTTTAGTTTTCTTTCGCACGAGCAAAAAAGAATTTTTTGCATTAAAGTTTTGATTGATGTAAAGCAAAAAAAAAATTAGCACATCATTTTATTAAATAAGCATTCACCTTTAATGTGCTAACTATTATATATCAAAATATTTGTTCTTTATTGATTCTTGGAAGTTCTTTTCTCTCTTTTCAATACTTAAGAGAAGAGATGCAATAATTTACACGGAGGTAGGTAGGCATGGGGACATTATATGGACATTTTAAATATGTCGTATCACAAATCAGAATATTTCAAACAAGAGAGACTATCCTATTGACTATATACATGAAGACATATAGCAATATAATTAATAATAATTATACAACACAAAAATAATTACCTGTTTGTAAGACATCTTTAAGTCTCTTAAGAAACTCGTAACGATGTCTTAACTAAAAATCCTTAAAGTTAAATTATTTTAAATGCCTTCCAAGAATCACCAGAAATCTTGCACGAGAGAAAATCCATTTTTTCCACATTCAATTATGCGTGTTAAATAATTTTTAATATCGAATTCAAAAATTTAAGAAAATGTAATCCCGTGTATCTAACACGCGCATTAATTCACAACAATTTCCTTTTGAAAGTCATATATGATTTCATAATTCGTGGGTAGTAAATACACTTACGTAAGGTTAATACACTTTCCATCCACGTTAATTCTCACGCTTCTCAATATCAATGTGAATTCTACATTATCTTCCTTCTTCTTCCAGGACAAGGTCGTGTGAATCAACTTGGAGGGGTTTTCATCAATGGGCGTCCATTGCCAAATCACATTCGTTTAAAAATCGTAGAAATGGCGGCAGCCGGGGTTAGACCGTGCGTGATCTCTAGACAATTGAGAGTCTCGCATGGGTGTGTGTCGAAGATCTTGAATCGTTATCAAGAGACAGGATCGATAAGGCCCGGTGTGATAGGTGGTAGCAAACCACGGGTCGCCACGCCGGAAGTCGAGGCGAGAATCGAGGATATGAAGAGACAAAATCCTGGGATATTCAGCTGGGAGATTCGTGAGAAATTGATAAAGGTCTGTTGATAATGTCTGTATGATAGATGGATTGCAAATGTTTATGCAAATTGATCAGAAATTCGTATGAATCCTACGAAAAGAAACGAAGCTCCAATTTGTCTTATTTTTTTTTTTGCATATTAGATTATCACATAGATATTTAAATTTTGCGTAAGCATCTGCATTGTCTAATGATTTAATGGAACTTTTGGACAGGAGAAATCATAATGACATGTAAATATATTGAGCTGGATTAAGCAACTACAAGATAAATCACTTGTGATAAATCAAAAGTTAGCATTAATCATATAAGTAATACTAGAAGCTAGAAATTTTCAAAAAGGGGTCTTCCACTTCTGCTTTTCTCATACATTGAGTTTAATAATAATAATATTCCTTTTGAAGATATATACTTCAATTTATATAAAACTTCAATTTTCTTATAGTAATTAAATAATTAAATTATAAATTAAATTAAATTAAATTTTAAAGTGTGATCATTGGAGATTGAATGAAAAATAAGAAAATAAAGTTTGATTAATTTCCATTAGTATACTAACTAGTCCAACGTGGTTCTGCCAGCAGGATGGTATCTGTGACAAAGCGTCAGCACCGTCAGTTTCCAGTATCTCGAGGCTTCTTCGTGGCCCCACGAATCAGACACGCCCCGGGGATGATCCTCGACGAAATCATTCCATCGACGGGATACTCGGTGAGTCTTCTTATCATCTTTCTCTAAAATTAAATTTTCACAAATTTATTTTCATAATTTTACCATTATACGATTTATATTGATAGAAAAATTCGTATCGATATTTCTAACTTTTTTCGATCTCGAGTCCTTTTAACGCTCTCCATAGAATTTTTCTCAAAGAAAAAGATCGATAGGAAATGATTAACTCAGGGAAACCGATAGAGATGTTCACGATTGATACGTGTAAAACTCATCGTTTTTAGCACCGCGTAAACCAGTAGATCGACGTAAATGAAACGTTTGAGGCGAGTTGAAGCGATAAGCGTGATTACACTGCGCCTCTATATTAATCGAGTTAATGTGACCGGAACGATAAATGACACGCACGGGTATACTTATTGGTAATATTTTTGATTGGGTGAAAAAAGTAACGCGATTCGAGCAAGTTGTAATTTTTTTTCGTAATTATTACGATATACTTCTTACGTATATAAATTGCACGATAAAAACCCTTAAAGCTCACGACGAGTGATTTTTGAAAGAACACATTTTCGAAAGAACGATTCCAATCTTGTCCATTAAAAAAAAAAAAAAAAAAAAAAAAACGAATGCAAACGAACGATATAAAGTTTAACGATAGAGGGTGAATAACAATCGTATAAATATCTTATCTGAACCAAAAATAGCGAAAACCATCAAAAACTTTCCCCATCCACACCGTGGAGGAAATCACCGTGATGAATATCATTGGATAAATCTATTCATCGCGAAACTTTTGCTCGTTCGAAGTTTGAATAGTTTCGAAGGGAGGGGGGGGAGGGAAGGGGAGGGGGAGGCAGGAAGAGATTATTAACAGGAATATAGGTCCGGCCGGCGGACGTAAAGGGAGTTCCTTCCTTTTTTATTTATTGGCGCGGTGAACCTCACGAAGAAATATTAGGCGTCCCGTGGCGCGTAGATGTGTCGAGTTTATTACCTTGTCGGGAAGATTTAGTTTTGATTAGATGTACGCCTGGAATTGCAACCCCGACGCAAGAACCCCTTGGATGGAACCTCTCTACCTGTTGATCGGTTCGCGCCATCCCGTAACAAACGAACAAATCTTCATTTTCGTCCCTGAAATTACGTTGTACAACAAGTCTCGTAGTTTGGAAATGGAATCTGGAATAAGGTGTCTTCTAAGTGAAATGTTGCATGATTTAGCGAAGTTTGTATTCTCACGATCATATTTTCCTTGGAATAAAATTATAGAAGGTATAATGGGCCGGCTACAATTGCGCTTCCTTATTAAGGAATAATCTCGGTGTGTATTCCTCATCAGGCGAATCAATTCTTCTCTTGCGTTGTGCTGGATAATCCGCGCCTCGTGGATTAAATTAATTTGTCGATGCTAATGATAATTGTGATATTTTCAATTTGAATGGTTGATAATGGGATCGATAATGCAAATATAATTTCTTTCTTTTTTTCTTTCTTTCTTTCTTTTTTTGATAAAGATATTCGTCTCTGAAGTTCGAAAAAATCAAAAAAAGTTAATAAAATTATGATGTTTCGATCAACAAAACATCAAGTAAACTAATAAATCGTACGTTTTATCGTTTACACTTGGCAGAAACAATCATATCTTTTTTTCATTGAGATAAAGATTTATCGACTCAATAATCATTATCAATTACATAAAATACTTTCATCGATTATTTCTTTTCCTTAATCCTTAATTCTTAATAATTATTTTCGTTATTAAACTTATTACAAGTGTATATAATATCTGCCTCTATTTTTTTTCGCAATCGCATTTCCATGATTCAAATGCCTTTTAAACGGAATCATATATGCAAACTCTCGACTCGAATACTTTTTTTCTAACTCGTCGTCCTCGTTAGAAACGAAACGAACAGTTAATACAAAACCGAAAGCTAAAAAAGAGAAAAAGAAGAAAAAAAAAAGGAAGAAGGTGGCGGGCGCGCAAAAAACCGCGCCAGAAGAGAAGGTAAAAAGGTAGAAGGTCGGGCGGGAGAGCGCAGGAGCGGAAGGAGAGGACACGAGGTGGAAGAACGCGTACACACGCGGCGTGTGGTCTCTCGTGCTCCGTATCCGGCTGCCTCTAATCTTACAAACCGCCAACACCATGGCAAGCCTGCCGTTTTCTTTCGAGGAACAACGGGGCTCGGCCTCTATTGATTTAGACGTTCCGCTGATCTTGGTAGTCGGGCGAAACTGTCAGGGATAATGATAATAACTGTCCATCTCGACCAGTAATTGTTTACATGGTTTTTTGGACGATTCACCCTTTGCGGTTCCCTCGTCTGTGCATTGTGCATTGTCTGACAGTCGGTTGTCGTAAATCTCGTAACGATATTTCTTTCGTATACGAATGGACGAATTTTGGAACGTGTGACGAGAATTTTGGTTCTTTCTTCGTGTGTTTAATGGAAATGAATCGAGAGTAATGGATGGTATTAATTGATTTCGTGGAATGTTATGCAATTTTAGAGTAGATTTTCTTTTTTATGATTTTACGTATAAATTCAATTTCGATTGATCAAACAGATTTTTGATCATGGATTTTGAAAATGAATATAACGTATATAACATAATCTAGATTATTAATTTCTAATTATATCATGATTATATCGTGATAAATAATTGAATTCTATATAGCAATAAAGGAACATTTAAAAAAATGCATATAATTCGATCTTGTTGTTCATATGACGAGAATTTTAATCAATGATAAAAAAAAATGATGCGGACAGATTGGGCAAACAATGAAGCGCGAACAATCAAGACGTTTTCTGTTATTTGTTGAACGAAACCGCGATATAGGCGAGCGTTGACTGGTCGTGGAAAGCGTGAAGGCTTCGAGAAATGGTTAGATGTTCTGCTCAAACCGTCACGAGGATTTACGGCCGCGGCGAGGTCTTTAATCTCGAAGAAACCGCCGTGCACTTCGCGGCGTTCAACTTCATGAATTCGAGCTGACGTTCGCGCAGGTGCTATTGATTTAGACGTTCGTTCCCGTCGATCGATCGACTTAATTCAGGAATCGACGCATATAAATTGCCGATGCGGAGTCAAGAGGGAATTATTACGCAAAAATGCGGGTATAATCAACGATAAATTCTAATCATGACTCAAAGAAATTTAGGTTTTGAGTATTTCTGTATTTTTATCATTAAGAGAGAATTATTTGAAAGTTTATCAATTTTATTGACATCGTTTCTAATTGGGATATTAAATTACGTCAACTCTTTAAGATAAATATATAGAATATAAATTAGAATAATAAATTCTTCTATCTTGCAAATTTAATTTTTATCACATATTCAATTTATCGAAATATAATATCTTTAAATTCAATTAATTATAGAATATAATATCAATTCCAAATCTATTTCAACTTTTTCATCCAAAACTATATTCATATATAACAGGCTAAAAAACTAAAATATTTATAAGGATTAAATTCAAATTTCCAACGATCTTAAACTTCTCTTTCCCTTCTTTCCTTTCCTTTCAATCACGTGTGGCGAAAAGACTTTTACCCCTAAGTTTTCTAACCTAACCTAACCTCCAAACCGAGGAGCACAGAGGAAGACGAAGAAATTAACGTCAGAGCAGGCGCGTTCGCAATTACGTTGTCGTAAAACTCAAACTCGATTGGATGGACGAAAGAAGAAGAGATTTCCGGTACGGTGCCCGCGTTGCCAAGAGACAAGGCAACGGATCCCCGTGTTGGACAGGCTTTCGTTTAGCTCGGGTGGGACGGGACATGTCAAAGAACTTAATTTCTTCGCGGCGGACCCTAATTTCTCCGGTGTTTTAGTTTAGTATAGGTTCGGCTGGCACGGCTGTAATCAGGAGGGCCTTAATGGTGGGTTGCAGAGTCCGGCGTGTGAACTGTGGGCGTGAACGACTCGCTTCCTATCTTCGGTATCTGACGTGCAGCACGTGCTGGGACTGGGAGACCATCTTACCGCTATTAAGAAGCGTGCTCCGTAACATCTATCCACGATATCTCTTCGACCTTACCTTACTTGTCGATTCCCCTCGTCGATAAGAGATACGTTCTTCGATACACGGACGTTTGTTCCGTGGAATTTCCAATTCCTCCTTTCCGCACTCGCGCGGGCGAAGGAAACGCACAGCCGGTTTCTATAATTAATTTCGCTTGGACGGGGGCGGCCGAATAATAACGCGGGAACGATTTGTTTATTGTCGTCGCGAAAGATGTAAAGTTTATATACATCTGTCGAGTGCGCTCATTTGAGAAGTTTTTTTTTTCCCCCTCCCTCCGATGAGTCAATCCTTTAAAGTATTCTCGGATATTCGGTTTGAAAAGCTTTTCAAGAGTTTTAAATAGAAAGCTTTATGGAATTGTTTTATTCTCGATTTATTGGATTTTTTCGCACATAGGGTTTTAATATATGTAATATAATGTTCGTTATATATATTGTTTTTCAGGTGGAAGTAGCGGTGACGATTCGGATACAGAGAGTGAACCGGGGATAGCTTTGAAGAGGAAGCAACGTAGAAGCAGGACTACGTTCACCGGTGAACAATTGGAGCAACTCGAAGCAGCTTTTCATCGAACGCAGTATCCCGATGTGTACACCAGGGAAGAATTGGCGCAAAAGTAATTATATTTTTTTGCATTTTAAAATGTAAACGTCGAACAAGAGAATTTCTTAAAGATTTAATAAAAAAAAAAGGGGGTGGGGGGAAGAGAGAGAGAAGACAAGAATGCAAAATATATTTGTCCAATTTGTTTCCTTTAACAATTTAATAAATTTAATTAATTTAATAAAGTGATTTTAATCTAGAATCTCGATATTATTGTTATTTCCAGAACAAATTTGACCGAAGCACGTGTTCAAGTGTGGTTCAGCAACAGGCGAGCCAGGCTTCGCAAACAATTGAACAGTCAACAATTAAACGCTTTCAACACAATGAGCTTGCAATCCTTTCAAACACAGCACTACGGTAGCAGTGCTGAAAGTTATCAGAGCTATGGGCAAGCATCGGTGGCTGCGGCCGCAGCAACCACGGCTGGCTATCCTCAGCATTACAACTATAGCGAGAATTACTACGCTGCTCAGCAACAGTGGCCAAGACCGACTGCCGAGAATTATGGGTGAGTTAATATTTATCAAAGATTTTTATCAAAGATCAAAACGAGGCTGAAATCCTGCCAACTTGAATTCTCATTGAATCAATCATTTATGTAATTATTCATCCTGTGATTTAGTGTAGTTTGCTCGAAATAATTTCTATATTCAATCAAAATAATCACGCGATTTTCTAGATGGAAACGAATCTTAATTCTACCATTTTTTTTTTTTTTTTTGTTAAACATGTGAATTCAAATTAAAAATTTTTGAATAATCATCGATGAGAGGATACAATTTATGTATTGTTAAATTTTCTAACTTCAAAAATATGGATTTGAAACTTTTTTTAACTCGCGAATAACTTTAATAAAGAGATCCTGATTTCGTGAAATTTCGCGTCATTCCGCTAATTCTCATTTTGCAAAACTTAAAAGCTAAAGAGGAAGAAGGACCCCCCACGAGGTCCACTATCGAAGCAAAGTACACGTTGTCGGGGTAAAGATACATTATCCCGGACGTTTAAAACTGGCAGAGGGGAAAGCGTAGCAGAAAAAAGGGAAGAAATCCGGGAGAAAGAGCGGAGCAGCTTGTGCTCACGGGGTGTTTCGAACAATTAATTCAGCCATTGTGGCGTAATAACAGGTTGGCGAAATGCTCGCCTGCTGCAGCGTGCTGTTACACGCCGAGTGCAGAGGCCAATTCGCTGCAACGCAGACCGCAAACGACGAAAGTCTTAGGAGAAGTAGTGAGAAATTGAAAGTGGAATCTGGGAAATAGAGAGAAATGAAAATTGAACTGAGCGATTGCTTTTCAAATTTTTTTTTTTGTTAAATTTTAGAGAATCGACGAATTATCTTTTCACATATCGTGATTTAAATGCATTTTTCTAAAAGAATTAATGAAAAATTTCGAAAACTTTATGAGCATGTGTAATAATTTATTACGATAATAGAAACTTTAAGAAAAATTTCCATTGAATATATATAAATTAGATTAAGTTAAAATTGTCATCATTTAATTTTTATCAAATTAATCTGTTTAAAATAAATTGAAACGAATATAAAAATATTATAATTAATCACTGAGATATATTACCATCATTTCTTTTTTTTCTATTTTACTTTTCATTAAAGAAATACTCTACATATTATCATATTAATTTTATAATGCCAATATATTCGTCATTTCTGTTGTACATAACTGTTTATTACAATAATTTTTTCGTTCTCCATTTGATCGCGATACGTGTTGAAGAAATATCTCTACAAAAAAATTTCATCGAATTCCATTTCTTTCCAACTATGCGAATTTTAAGTCTTCTCAACGAATCCCGAAAGAGATATATCTCTCCAGAAAAAGCAGGAAAAAGCAGTGAGGATAAAGAGAAAGCTTGAAAAGATGGAACAGGTGAGACGAAAGAGTAAAAAAGAAGAAAGAAAGGAGAAAAAGAGAGAGAGAGAGAGAGAGAGAGAGAGAGAGAGCCGTTTGGTCGGCGCGGTGAGGCAGTCGAGACCCCACCAACACGTTTTCTGTGTGGTCCTCAATTATGTTGCTTCTTCGGCCCCCGTAATGAAACGCTACCGGCTAATAATCCAACGCGGGTCTTGATCTTCGCCGATGATCCAGCTTTAACCGGGCAGGAGATTTCGTGGCCTTCTCCTTCACCCCGGAAGCGGAATACATACCTCGACATGGATTTTCGGTTGCTACAAATTCTTTCATTACAACGAACGTTTCTCATCCATTTTATTGGCTTCTCGATACTTGCACAGGCATGAAAATCTCATTGGGCGAGATTGCGCCACGCGATTCGACTCGGACGATATTACCGTCGTTTGAATTTCGCGGCGAGGCGCGGCGCGCTTAACGCGCATGCGTTTTATGGATTCCGTTCTTACGCGCGCAATAATCATCAGCGGGTTTTTTTTACGATAAATTTGATCGTCCTTGTTGTGTCGTGTCGGTGGGATTGAAGGTATAAGTGGGAAATTTTGGTGGTTAATTTACCGATTGGAAAAAGATTGGAAGGGATTTTTATGCGACAATGATGTGGGATGAAATTCTGGCGAAATTTAAAGGAAATTGGGATGTTTAAAGAGCGAAAGAACGGCGAGGCATGAAATGAATATTAATCGTGTAATAGGTTTCGGGGAGATTCGGGAAAAAAAGGAAAAGGAAATGATGTGGTCCCTGGTCGTCGAATTAGGACCACTTAAAATTTTCGAGATTTTTTATTTTTTTATTCTTTTTTTTAAGGAAAGGTATGAGTTTTGATAGCGAAGGTATTGATTTGGTAAGATATTATTAATAATTGAAGTTTCACTTTTTTATTTAATTTCGTTTAAATAAATGAGATATTTCATTTCATAACAATGGAAAATTCTATTTTATATACTATAAAAAACTTCTATGCAACTTGTAACACGAATTACATTTCTATGATAATTTACATATACCAAAATTTACAATTTGCCAGAGTTATTAATGGCTAAATGAGATAAATTTATATGTAATTATATGTAATAAAATTATATGTAATTTATATGTAATCACCAAGTATTAAATTCAAAGATACCAATAAATTAATTATTACAAAGAAATGTTAAATTATATACTCATTACAAATAAATAATTTCACGTTTATCGTAACAAATCGAATAAATCAACTTGTGAAAATAATCCATTTCTCAAATAAGTTCATTTTTCATTCCATTCGAGAGTAGATATTAATTATTTTTATTTCACAAATAAAAATGTTCAATCCTTGGAAAAGAAATATTCGAGATAATTATTGCTCTCTGATAACCAGCCCTGATTCAACTCACCAGTATAAATATCCCATATTCCTCCTCCGATCAAAAACCTCCCCACCCCCCTAAGAAACCTCCCTTAATTTCACCAATCGTCGATTATAAATTATTCATTCCCGCTAAGCCTCGTCGGAATTCATTAACACTTCCATAGAAATAAACATGATTTGTGGGATGATGGTTGGCCAAGGGGAAAATAGATTCGTAGACCGGGGCACGGGGACAGTCGATAAATCCTCGAGCTTCCGCCACACCACGATGCCAAGAAGGAAGGTTTCGAAGAAGGAATTAAGGGAGGACGAGAAAGGACGGGGGAAAGGAAAAAAAAGAAGGAGGTACGCGGAGAGGGGGTGCACGAGGATAAGGGAGGATGAGGGAGGAGGAGAGAGAGAAAGAAAGAGGAGAGGAATTAAATGGTTCCAACATCGGCACGCTTTAGGGGTCCTTAACCGGTGCTGCTGTGCCGAAACGGTCAAAAGGGCCGCTACTCCGTTTTGAAATCGGTTGTTGGCAGCCTCGACACGCCCTAAACGATTCGTACTCCGCGTATACGTGTGCGAGCGTGAAGCTTGTGCCCGCTCGGTATCGGTTTGCAAACGAGCAGCGAGGTTTGATTGCACTGCGAAACGAGGGAGAAGTGGCCGCGGCGGTTACTTTGAAACGTCGCGAGAAACGAAAAGAGAATTTCATCCTGAGGTTATGCGCGGCCAGAACTGCACCGCGTTTTTAATACTTTGATACGGTTGCCCCCTGCTCCCTGCTCGAACGTCGCCTCGTCTCGTCGTAGTTGCTTTACATTCGGTGTAAAACGCTTGCTTTCCGCATCGGTGATCTCTCGATGAATCGACCTCGTCTTGGATCCTACTTGGAAACTATTTCGAGAGAGTCATCGTCCAGACGATTCTTTTAATACGACGATGCAAGGTCTATTACAAGGAAAAAGAATCGAAGATGGTTGAAATGAAATTATGTAATTTGAGGATTTGTTGTTATATTATTAATCGATTATGCAAATATTTTTATTATATCTTTATTTAATTTAACTTTACAACAATTTTTATATTTTTTCCTTTTTCGTAACAGAATAATAGAATTGACTCTACCTCTGTTTATCCTTGAACGAATCCGATGAAACGTCCATTGCATACCTCCTCTTTTCTTGTTGCAGATTGTTCAACGCGTCTCACTACGGTAGCAGCAATCTGGCTTCCAATTTAACTTCCAGCAACTTGAATTTGGGCAGCCTGAGCGGCAGCGTCAGCCCCACGGCGTCGAATATGAGCGCGTGTATGGTTCAGGGCGCGTCCTCGGGGGTGCCTACCCCTGCAGCGATAAACCATCACGTGACGCCTCACAGTCCCAGCGAGGCGAAGAGTGGTTATCCCTATTTGGGTGGTATAGAGTCCCAAGTCTGTGGCAGAGTTCACTGAACCGTGGAGTTCACAGTTAAAAAGATGGCGGAGGGGGAAAGGCGAGATCGATGTTTAGTATCTAGCTTAAAGTGTTTTTCAAACTTTTTCGAGTTGCGATATTCTTTTGTCAATATTTATGAGTAATTTGTGACTCTTTTCTCTTGTGGTATAAGGTAAGGAAAATTTGAAAAATTAACAAAGATTTCGATTAATGTCAATGATATGACTAACAGCATTATTGTCTTTGGGTTAACAAAAAATTTATATAGCAAGGGGATGATGAGCTTGACACTTTCTGTGGAATATGACAATATGTAAATAATTATATTGATATGAAGAAGCGCTAAAAATTATTAATTAATTAAGAATCAGAACGGTGATTTTTCTGAAAGACAGGTTGAAAACCATTGATTTAATTCTTTTTTATTTATAATTCTATGAAGATTATGATCGCGATATTTATGAGATACTCTCGTTCGAATATTATTTAAAAAAAATTGAGATATTTTTTTAAATAATTTTAGAAATAATTTTTAAAATCAAAATCTTATTTTGAAGAAAAATAAGAGAAATTATTTATGATTTTTCTATGAAACGATGGATAAATAAAGTAGACGTACTTTATTCATTTATTGATATTTATAAATGAAGAAATATAATTTTATCAGATCTCACAAAATCTCACAAGTATTGCAATCCTTTTAAAATTGAAGCAATAAAACACCATGAAAAAAGATATAATAAGTAATGCTTCTTTGAAATGGTGGTATAAAGAGCTATCTATCTAACATAGAATGATATAAATATTATATTTATAAATTGTTTCTGGAGAAATTGAAAAGCTCCTTTTTTTAAAGTTATAAAATTTTTAAAGTTATAATTTTAAAGCTGCCATGAGATGCAAATATGTGTATATAGCATGAATATTTCATTGTATATCTATTGTAAGTTTTTATCGTTTCTTTTTTTTTTTTTTTTCTTGTAGAGATGAAGCGTATGTATAATTTCTGTTAATTATATTTTAAGGTATCTTAATTTCTTTTAGATCCTTAAAGTTATTGTTTTCTTCGGAAGAAGAATTTTAAAACGTTAATTTTTGGAGGCTTGTATTTATTCATTAATACTCGAATGTTACGGATGATAGAAAGTCATTCATATTATTTTTTGGCGTTAATAAAATACTTAAGAAGATTATACCTTAATATTACATTTTTAAATATGTATATTAACAATTGTGCTTTAAATTGTTTTTTTTTTTGCGAAATCATTAAAAATATAGTTGTTTAATGAACTGGTTATTAAGAAGTCATAAAATTTGTTGATAATTATTATTGTTGTTAAATAAGGTTCACGTATATTCACTATTCTGTACAGTTTAAATCATATTTCATTAATTAACATGTGCATATTTAAGTATCCCTATTATATGATTAATAAATCTATGCCCAATGACACTAACAATTATCCTAAAGAGTTATTAACATTTATGTAACCATATTGCTGTCCACGGATTTGAAGAAAGAAAAAAAAAAAAAGAAAAATTCCTAATGGAAGGAATTTACATTATACTTTCTACATGTTAAGCCATCATTATAAAAAAAATTAAATTATCATACAAATTTTGTTTGACATTTGACAGCATTGATACGAACTATTACTGAACTATTACTTAAATAGTTGTAAATAAACTGCTTATAAAAAATCGAAAAGATTTTCGAAACTGAGACGATGAGAAAAACATTGCGTATATTATGCAATAAAATATTGTTATAATTCCATACATTTCTAAATTTTGTATTTTTAGATTTTATTTTGTATAGTTAAAAATTGTGGTAATTGGTAATTAATCGAGTCACTACGAGGTGCCTTAAAATTGCCTTTTCTCTCTTTGAAAAAATTGAGAATGGTCGAAAACTGATTAAATTTGTTTTTTTAATAAGATAAAGTATTTTAAAAGATGGTCAAATATCTATTGAAAACGATTATTACGATGAATAGTACGACTTTATCGATTAGATGATTTAATTGGCCAGTTAATTGCGGTTATTATGTACGAAGACGACTTTATTCGATGCACATAATATTCTTGTACTCATTAATTATAATTGCCAATATATAATTCATTGTTGCAGAATAAAAGAACATTTAAAAGGAATTGTTGATTCATTATTTTATTACTTTCACTTTGTTGATACTACTATCCTTATCCTGATTCCTCTATTTCATTCTCTAATATGTAATATGTAATATGTACTTATTCGTCATTATTTCAAAGTTATGACAAATCATATATTATTAAATATTTTATATTCACCAGATATTTAATATTTTCGTCTTATGCTTGTGATTCACTCTTAAAAAACAAAATAGATATATTTACCTTACTCTACTGTATTTTTATGTAATCGTGAAAAAGAAGGAGAATCTTTCCAATCTCTATACAAGAATATAGAGAAAATTAAAAATTTCAAATGTGATAGCTTATCAATAAATGTAATAATACAGGAAAAAAGAAATACGGTTGTTATTAACAATTTTTGAGTTACCATTACAACAAATCCGTTCACAAATCGTATCAAAAACTTGGAATAAGCAAAATGTTCTATTCTTCTTAACTTTATTCACCATAGCGTAGGCGTAGCCATTAAATTACATTTAATAAAACGACCTGCCCCCGATTGGTCCCGATTCGGTCGTCCAGGCCAATTGTTGATCAACTCTCGGTATAGCCAGAGACACTAGCTTTCGGCAATGGAATACTTCTCCCTGCAGAAGGAGAGCCGACAATCGAGAGTTCCAGCGACAACGAGCAATCAGCCTGCCGTATATCTGTTGCTCCTGTCGCCACGCATTTGTGGCCCATTGTGCAGTCGAAGTAGGTGGTCGGCCTTCCCACTTTTTGCCTCGTTTGTACAAAGGTAACGTGGCAGAACTATTCGCTCGATTCTTCTTAACTTTCGACCTGGAACGACACGCTTGCAGATCTGTTAATTTTATCGATACGTTTGTTTCTTGGGCCAATCTTTTTGTACGTGTTTTCTTTCGATTGAAAATTTGATTTGAGTAGTCGTCTATTAGATTCTAAGAGCCAAGATCTATTTGACATGAATTTTTCTTTTCATATATGTCTATTATATGTAATTTTTCTTTTTATATGACATCTTTTCGCAGCCAAAATAAATATTTTAATTGTTCCAATGCACAAGATATGCATGTAAGAACATTGATGTTGTAAATTTATTAAGACAATTTTTTAAGATAAATGAAATTTTTCTTGCTATATCTTATATTTTATAAAAAAATTTCGGCTTTGAAATATAATGGAGATATTTGAGAATTAATAAATCACGTTATAAGATATAGAAATTTCCATTTTTGAATTCTCACGCTCGACTTAAAACGAGCCCTCGCCGACGAGAACTTTCCCCCGCCCTTGACCTACCGCATTACATCCGAGGTAGATGAAAGAATTTTGGAGCAACAGATTGGCCAACGGAACATCGGCCACGATTGCCAATGGGGGTGAGAACGCAGAGACACAAAGGGGCCGCCGGCTAAGCAACCCTATGGCACACCCAAAGGGGATGGAGTATGGGGCGGGGACCATTCAATGGCGAATCACGATTCGAATGAAAAGCTGTATGTGGGGTCTGAGAAAGCTCAAATTCTAATTCACAAACGTGTACGATTCTATCTAGAAGTTTAATATTTTCAATAAAATTAATATAGTTTATTGACAAATAGCTTCATTCTTGGAGAACAATTTTCAATTTTAAAATTGCAATAATTAATATATCATATGATATTATTGTTTTGTTTTGTTTTATATTGCAATATATATAGATTTATATGTATTTAATTTTGTTAAAAATTGCAAACAATATATTAAATTACATTATTTGATATTTTTCTATGCAATAATTCAAGAATATTTTTTCGGCATTTTTATAAAAAGCGTTATTTATTTCCCCTGCAGTGAGTTTTTCGTCGCAGTAACCAAGACAGATGTACCGGTAACGGCAAAGCTGATAGGTGTGACGACCTCCCAGGTTTAAGCCGCACCCTCACGACGGAAAACTAGGGGCGGTGTCATCGCCAATCCTCTGCGCTCGCATGCGTTCTACTATTTCGCTTCATCTACCGTCGCGATATTTCTATATTCACGCTTTCAAAAATTCTAAAAAAAAAAAAAATCTAAAATTTTTACTTAGTATTTAAGACTATCTATCATTCTTAACAAAAATCATTATATAACAAAGAAATTTTTCTTTTATCAAAAAAATGAATCTCTCTTCTCCTCAATTCCAATCGTCATTTCATCGAAATCGAAAAACAAATCATCATCGTTCAAAATCGAAACATTTATCAATATTATTATTTCAACAAAAATAATTTTCCTTTTCCGTTTATTAATTCCTAATTCCATCAAAGATAAAATAAAATAAAATAAAACAAACTCTTCCATCTCCTCCATGTATCTAGGCACCTAAGTATCTATTATTCACCATCGATATGGTATCGCGAGCGTGGTCGAGCGTTACGAAGCGGTGTCCCCTGCACGAAGAAGGGGAGGGGGGAAAAAAAAAGGTTCGGGCACAAATCATCGTCGGCTTAAGGAGACGTGGAAGCGGGCATAAAACGGGCGCAGCGAAAAACACACAAAACCAGTTCACGCGGACACCATGGCTGCTCCCCTTAATAGCAGCCGCGGCTCCCCATCCACGGATCCTCCAATAGGGTGAGCCGCGATACTTCGAACAATGGCACGCTCGAATAGATTAATCAAACTTAACTGAGCCAATGAAAGCCGTGCAAATCTCGCGTGGGGGATGCATAGTTCGCAGTGATGCTGGCGCTCGCCCGTTACAACTCGGAAGAGAAGAGAGAGAGAGAGAGAGAGAGAGAGAGAGAGAGAGAGAGAGAGAGAGAGAGAAAGTTGGTGAACATTTCGAGAATTGGGACCATGGGGGCCATGGGGAGGAGAGAGAGGCTATGGGAACGCGTGGTGTTGCGAATTT